GTAATTGTAACTCATTTTTTTATCAATATTTTACCTTCAACCAAACATAAACTTATAAAACTTTACCCAATTTTTCCGGTAAATTTTTTCCAACCAAACAGCTTTTTTTACATTTCCCTACCAAACTTACTTTTCCACCATATTCCTAATAATCACATTTTCCTAGTATTCAAAAAAAATTCCTCAACCAAACGCCCCTTAGGGTGATGGATATGCAAACGAGATATTATCGATGGCTGTGGATGTCCCTTTGAGTCTCGTCATGTTCTTCTGATTTCAAATTTTGTTTGGTATTAATGATATATTTGTTCAATATTCTGGTGCCTTTGAGGACTAATTTTGCAAATTTTGTACGTACTTTATTTGGTGTGCGTCCAAAACTTTAGGTTACTATTCATGTTCTTCAAAGTTATGATTATTTACCCGGGTAGTCCCCTCCCTACTCAGGTAAATAATTCAAACATTTTTCCAGAATTTTGAAATATGCCAGGGTATTCCCTTGACTACTCGGGTAGGGAAATTTTTTCAAAAAATAGCCAGGTAGGGAAGGGGCTACCCGGGTAGGCTTGATGGTCAATGGTCAAACATGGATAGATTGGTGTTATGTTTTTTGGAGATGTTAAATTTTTGAAATAGTTTATAATCAAGGTCAATTTGGTAATTATTTATTAAATAAGGGCTACAGTGGTCAAAAAGCCAAGTTAATGTTAAGGTTGTGTATACAATTAAAATTTAAGGGTGAAGATTTCAAAGGATAAACTCTCATGTATAATTTCCTTCTTTTTTCCTTTCTCTGTGTGTGTAGGGTGTTTGGCACAATAAAAAAACAGAGTGAAACTTAAAATTGTTGAGAATTTTGGTCTGAGTAGTGAAATCTTACATTTATTATAAACAAATTAAGTGATTTTCATATAATTATATAAGTGAATGCACACATAAATCTAGAATCTTGAGATTCTGCATTGAGATGTGATGTTAAGCCCATTTATTATGATGAATTGTCATTTAATCCATTTGATGGTGGTTCCAGGCCATAAATTACTATTGCCTAATAGCAATAAAAGCAATTTGCTCATATCTCAAAGGAAAGTGGATAATCTCTCTATGAACATGAGTTGCAAAAGAAAGATTTATAACTTCACACACACTAACATAAAATAAGTTTAAGTTTTTGAATAATTATTATATGACAATGTATTAAAACTTCTTATCATTATATCAAATGGTGGTAGCTCAATTGTCGCATATGAACTGAGCAGGTGGAAGTGAGAGCATGTGTTTGATCATCCTCAATATCACCTTTGGGGAGTGGTTTTAAATCTTAATCTTGGATCTGCCCCGAATCGGACTAGTCATGAAGCAATAAATCGATAGGATATTTTCAAAAAAAAATAACTTCTTAACATTATCGACACTTCAAGAATTTGAGTCCACGTAACTCTTATGTCGTGATCGATGAGATGTGTTTACGATGTAATACAAAATTATTTATACGTATTTTTACTAAATAACTTTATGTTTTAGAATATTGTCTTCCTTATTTTCTCCTCTAAGTGATATTTCAGTATACAATTTGTTTTTCTCATTTTTTCTGAAGGGCTTGTGTTCCAGGTTTATAACTCGGATGAGTCTAGAGTTCTAGACATGATATGAATAAGGAGACACCACCTAGTGATCCATTACAATTGCCAAGTGGGCCAATCACAAGATCAAGGGCCAAGAAGTTTAAAGAAGCTCTTAGTGGGTTGATCCAGCAAATGTGGGCTAATCATGAAGACATCAAGCCCAAATTTATTCATAATCAGAATTTAGTCAATGTCATCAATGCAAGGGAGGTTGAGTGGAATGAGTAGCAATTTCCAATGTCAATTATTGCTTAGTGGGGCTGAAAGCATTTTCAATGTTATTAATGCTTAGTGGGGTTGATTCACATTTCTAACGTCATTAATGTTTAGTGGGCTGATTAGAGTCTCTTCCTTTTCCAAGTTGTCAACTTTAAATTAGTGTCTTTTCATTTGCTAAGTCTTTTCCGATTCTTGGAGGGACGTTCCAAGTATAAATAAGTGAGGATATAACTCTTGTAATCATATTTTGAAGTTATAATATAATTGAGAGGTTTCTTCTCTTTGGTTTTTATCTAGAACTCTGAACTTATCAAGAAGCTTGTTCTTGTGGCGTTCAAACCAGACTTATCACTCACCTTCTTCTTTCTTGAGTGTGGCATCTTTATCCTTCTTATACCTTTGGTTCTTATCTTCCATAGATAATGGGTCAAGGTTCTTTATTTCTTATTTAAAATTCCTGATTGTAGAAACGATCTCAACTAAATTGGTCTTGGGTTTCACTATTCTTGGTGAGGTTCATATCAAGACATAACCTGGGAAGCCCATGTATTGTTACCCGGATAAAATAAGTCCATGGATTATGAACTCATCTACCTGAAACCCATAAGTAGAGCCCAAATGGTGAACCCTTCTCAGAACACAGAATTGGAACCCAGAGTGTGGGCCCCAAACCAAAATTCTTTCCTACTATATGATGATAAGACCATGATCATTATAACTGCCTCATATCCATTAATAATAATCGTTAATAGAACATGGAAAGGATATTGTAACAAATAGTTAGTGTTACTACCAATCAATTTCACCGCTAGATCGATTATGTTGATCCAACGCGATTATATTTATTTTCATATTTGTATGATTATGATTCCATATATTTAAGACTTTATATTTATTTTCATGTTTGTATGGTTATAATTTCTCATATTTAATGTTTTCACATCAAATATGAGGAATCATAACCATACAAAAAATGGAAATAAATATAACCGTTGGATCAACATAATCGATCTAACGGTGAAATTGGTTGATAGTAACATTGATAGTAGCACTAATTGGTTGTTACACTATCATACCCCGTAAAACATATATAAAGAGGAAGATAAAGTTCAAAGGGGATTAAGTTCATTTCAACATAAGTACTACCAAATCGATTTAACCTTTCATGTTCATACTAAACAGCTTGATTGATTTTTTTTTCTAATTATTTTACAAAAAAAAAATATCAAAAAAATCTTTGATATATTTTATTTTGAAAATAAGTTTTAGAAGCTTTATAATGCTCGGGTGGCGTTTTAACGGAAGAGATTTAAAGCGATAACAGAGAACTCATAAAAATAAGAAAAGGAAAATAAAATTAATTAAAATATATTCTTCTTTTTTCATTCTTAAAGTAAAATTTGGTGAATTTTTTTGAAATAATAAAAATAAAAATAATCATTAAACAAGTTTTATTCAATATTTTACTTATTCAAAACAATTATTTTTTAAATAAAAATCAAACAAAATGTTGGAGCTCCAAACATTCTAGTAGATGTTCCATTTTTTCTTCTCTGTCTTTTAAATTAAAATTTGTCAATTTAATGTATAATTTTTTTTGTCAATTTAGATTAAACTGACAAATACTCTCTACAGTTTCAATGCAACTCAGGAGGCGTTTGGTACCGGAGAAATTTTTTTTTAACCGAAAATCTCAATTTTCAAAGATATAATTTTGCCATTCAATTTATGATAATATCCGTAAATTTAAAATTTAAAATTTAAAAAAATTCAATTTACGCAGCAAGAATCCCGCGTACCAAATTTAATCTTGTTTACATTCCTGCTATACATTGGCGTCTTTCTCCTCATCCTAAAGTACGTTGTAGGGCACATCTATCAAAATGTTTCATTTTTACAAATTTAATGTCAAAATATGTTATTGCTAAAATTATATATACTCATGCTCTTCTTTTCGATTCGCAGATCAACCGGCAAGATCGACTTAATGAGTTTCGCAAAGTTGGGTAGCGAGACCAATTTTATACCACCCTCAATATCACTCTAATATATTCAGAGCTATGTTTAGATATTTCGTAATAAATAAAAAATAATGAAATATGATAGAAAAAATAAAATAAAATAAAATAAGATGTAATAGAATAAAACTATCATATTGTGATATGAAGAAAAAAAATATTCCATTATTCTAAAAGTGAATAAAATGATAAAGAGATTAACAGATAATAAATTTGTTGTATCCTATACTCATTAAATAAAATGAGATGATATAAATTTCATGAGATTTCATTTCATTTTTGTAAAGAACCTTGAGATACACCACCCCCAAAAACTAGCTCAAGGGTAGAAGTGTCCAAGGCTTTATAAACCTTACATTAGTTGCTTATACAACTAATGTGGGACTATATTTCTCAACACGCCCCCTCACACGAGAGTACACTGAGTTAGAAGGGTGAATAACATACAAGCCCACCTACATTGGGAGATGGTGATATTTGGAACGCTCTGATACCATATAAAGAACTTTTGGATAATTTTATTTTATTCTAAACAATTTAAATATTAGTAATTAATATAATTTCATTTTATTCCACTTTATTTCATGCTTTTCCATCCATATAAATGGATTGTCGTAGATTATAAGTCAATTTATTTTGCTTTCAGCACAGTTTATAATCAAAATATTCTTTATTATAACTTTATTGTTAATAAAAAAAGTTACGAATTTACGTATCGTTAATCAATACGTTAAAAACTTATAAGGATAATAAAATAAGAAAAAAACTACTCTTATGTTACATTTTATAAATTTATCTCCTACATACTCTTCGATAATTGTGCCACTTTTTTTTATTTTATTTTTTATTTTTCAGGTGGGGAGCCCACAAGTTTATTTCTCTGACATGAGATAATTCTTTTATCATGAAATTAATAAAACCCATAAAATAATTATTTAAAAAAATTTAATGTTATATAAAGACCGAATAAAACAGTATATCTTATGATAATATAATAATGCCGTGAAAATTTAAAGAAAGCAAAAAGGTGTGATACGTCATCATTTAGCCATTCAAATTCAAGTTATTATACTGCGGTTATGAGCAGTTATAAGTTGTAACGACGTCGTTGCATCGGGCGTAATCCAGTTGAGAAAGTGAGGGAAAACTGAAACAAAGTTCACTTCCTCCTGTAATGGAGATTCTGATTTTGATTGTGAAACCCTAAATAGCCCTTTACGGTCTGTGATTGTAATGGATGCGAAGGATATCCTGGGATTGCCCAAAAACTCATTCCCAGTTCTGGAGAAGAAATCTCGACCTCCCAAAGAGTCTCAAAGAAAACCAGATGGCATTTCGCGTGAGGTACCAATCTCTATTCATTGTTCATTATAATATTCAATTTTTTTTTAGGGTTACTGAATTGAATTATATTGTATTTTTAGGTGTATGCACTTACTGGTGGATTGCCACCTCTTATGCCAGCGATTGATGCCTCTCCATTGAAAAAAAAGCCTCCCCCTCACGAAAAGGTTTTTTATTTTTATTTTTTTGTTATTTTTTTTGTTCGCAATACTCAATCACTTTGGTGATTGAACTTATTGAGGAATTTCAGTTTTTTTCCCCTCTTTTCTCCTTCAGATCACTTGGCAATGGCTTCCTTTCACCAGTTCTGCTCGTAAAGATAATCTGCAGCTTTACCATTGGGTCAGTGACAGTCTCTGTAAAATTTCATATATTATCTGTGACTCTGAGCATGTGAGTTATTGTTATGTGTCTCTTCTATGGCAGGTCCGAGTTGTCAATGGTGTTCCACCTACGGGAGACTATTCTTTTGCCAAGTATAACAAGGTAAATGCAAGTTTATTCTTTGTATTCGTGAATGCTATGTGTTCTTCTTCTTTTTTCGAATTTGGCTTTAGGAAACATCTTCTGTTTGCATGATTGAATTTTAGTTTACATGGTGTGGTGCAGTCTGTTGACATTATCAAATACACAGATGAGGAGTATGACAAGTACTTGACAGATCCTGTAGGTATCATGTCTATTTGTACAGTTTTATGGGACTTTATGTATGAGTTTGTTCAAATGTTGCAATTTTTTATGCTTCCCGAACTGAATTTTATTCACTGTTTCAAGTTGTGATTGTGGGGTCTTCGTTGGCTTTTATTGCAAGAGTACAGATTGAAAGGTTTTTTTGTGTATACAATTTAAAATTGTTAAATTACTCATTGGTAATCACTGATGTTGGAGTCTTGGAGATAATAAATCTTAGTATTGAAAGCCTCTCTTTTTCTTTTTTCTTTTTCCTTGAGAAGAGAAGGATATTGGGTTATTTATTTATTCCTATGTAGGCTAATAACAACAAGTTATACAGTTACTTATCCTAGGGGTGTTTTCTTTAGTCTTTAAGTTAACACAGATTTCGTGTAAAAATATTGATGGATCCTTGAACTTCAAGAGTTTAGTGTGAAGTAGATTTAGTATACCTTTTTTGTGTGGATGACAACAGTAGTATTCTATTAACCTGATCAGAACTGTAACAATCACAACTGTAATTTGGTTATACCTATATATATATATATATATATAGAAAGGATCAATTTACAACCGTGTAAATCTAAGAAGTCTTACATCCATTATTAGCTGTTGATTCTATTTGGCATCTAATGGCTGTAAAGAGATTCATATGAGTTACTAATCTCCAATTAATTACAGCCATTGGATGCAAGTAGAATCAACGAATAATAATGGGTGTAAGACTTTTTAGATGTATATATCTGTAAATATCTTATGATTTGGATAATGACAATAAGAGTTTAGAGTTTGAATTATTGTTACCTTGGATTTTTTTTTCTTGACAGAGCTTGTCCTTTGAATCAAATAGCTACCTGTATGGATGGGAATTTGGGATACTGGATTTTACTTTACATTGGTATCATGATGTTTGGTATCAAGAACAGGAAAATATTATTGGTTTAGCCATATACAAAGGGATAAGTTTGTGAGCAATTTGGAAAGATCTGTATCTATGAACCTAGCTTAGCTTTTGATGGGCCTTCAATAAAGTAACCAAGACCATTAGTTAGGAATTAGTATATATAGATATGTTTAGGGTGGGATTTAGGTATGCATGTATTCACTGAAATGGGAATTGGGAATTGGGAAAAGGATCTCTAGGGATCTCTTGTGAGGCCTAGGTCTTTGGCTTTGTGGGTGAGTTGAGGTCTCTTTTGGTATATCTTTTGTAGTTGTCATTTTCTTTTGTCATTTTCCAGTAGTGGAGTCTGCAATCGTTATCTGTTGAAGTTTGTAGGAAGAATATGGAGTTTATTAATGTTCTGTTTCTTTTTCGTTATTGCGGATACTGTCGCAACATGTATCTCCAAAGTATTATTGAGTAATAGAAGTGTTTTTCTTGTTCATTTGCTGTTAAATTATTGTTGCATTTGTCTGGGTTCCATCAAAGTTGTTCATTTCCTATTTTTTCTTAATACATGCATACCTAAATCCCACCCTAAACATATCTATATATACTAATTCCTAACTAATGGGCTTGGTTACTTTATTGAAGGCCCATCAGCTTTGCATCTGCTTCTTTTGTTCACCATAATCAATTGTACATTTTATTGTATAAAATTACTCGCCCTTAACTGCAACTGTGTAATTCTGTGTGCTTTTCACAATTGAAAGTTGAAACATATTGGCATTCTACCAGTATTTTTACATCTATCTCTTTAATTAAGTGTTCAATTCATTTCTCTGTTCTATTATGCTTTATCTATGTAGATGTGGACCAAGGAGGAGACAGATCAACTTTTTGACTTATGTGAGAGGTTTGATCTCCGATTTATTGTAATAGCTGATAGATTCCCATCATCTCGTACCGTAGAGGAATTAAAGGATCGATATTATAGTGGTATGTCTTTGCTCACTAAATTATTATATGTGGCAAACTCATTTTCTTTTATTCATAGGTTGATTGTATGGAAACCGTGTAAGCAAAATGTAATGTTTTAACTTTTGAGTTTTTATGACATGCCCCTGTCATGTAGTATCCCGTGCTATATTAATTGCTAGGGCGCCGTCTTCTGGGGACGTTGCAGCACATCCTCTGGTTAAGGTGCAGTAAACTTTTTTAAAATAAAATTATTTCAAGTCATTACTTCATTTTTATTTTTTCTGGGTAGACTATTTTTTGTAAAACAAACTTATATCTGCCGTAGCACATTCCCATGTGGTCATTGTAACTTGTTCTTCCTCCTCAATGTAGGAATCATATAACCTTTCACTAGAAAGGGAGCGAAAACGAGCACTGTCCATGGTCCTCTCTCACACAAGGCAACAAGAGCGAAGAGATGAAGAGGTTCAGACAACTTTTTTTAACATCAGTATACGTTCATATCAAATGAAAAGTATAGATACCTACTTCTGTTATTTATTGCAGGTTCTTGTTGAAGCAAAAAGAATAGCTGAGCTACGCATGCCTCCTAAGGTAATTTTTGAAAGATTCTATTACACCGTTAATTACATGTAGAGAGGAGGAATTGTTATCAAGAATCAAGATGAAGTTTCAGATTATCAAATTATCAAATTCTGATTTCTTTATTAGTTTTGGTCCTGAATTCCTACCCATGAACTTAAAATATTGGGAGATGTTTCTTATAATTGTATTCATACATCAAACAAAATTTTCCTGGTCATAACTTCATTAATATTCAGTTTTGCTGACAGTAAAATATGTGTTGAAAGGGTATCACTGAATCACCTGTTCCCAGTTTATAATTTCCAATTTGGGGCAACAAAATCATGGAATATATAAAATGTTTACACATGAGCTGTACATGCATCTGTGTGCCTGTGGTTTTTATATAACATGTTTGATTTTATATATGTTTTAGGATGCTGAAGAGTCTCAGTTGGTTGTTGCTTCAAATGCTGGTGCAGAAATTACAGAGGGGGCTATCCCTGGTGAAACTGTATCTCCATCGAATGTGCCACATACATCAATGATTGCACCGTCCACAGTAACAGATAATGCATCTACACTAGCTTCTCTTCGCATGGTAAGTTATACAGAAGGATTTACTAAAGGGGAAAGATCCGTTTACAAACTTTTTTTACAAATTTTTGCAAATTACACTATGTACTCCCGGAAGTACATAGTGTAACCTTGTGTACTTCTGGGAGTACATAGTGTAGTTTGTAAACAAAAAGTTTGTAAATATAATCCTCTCCTTTACTAAAACAAAAGTTATACAGAAGGTTTCCAGTTATGTTTTCTCTGCCTTTTCTCAATTGACAATTCTCTTCTCATCACCTTCCAAACTCAACTTCCCACCCCCAACCCCGGGGAAGATGGAATAACAAGGATTCTGATGTTCAAAAATTTGATCTTGCATTGATCACAATATTTGAAATAACTATTTTTTTGAGAGGCAATTTCAACAATTTGTTAATGCTTATACTTCATAACATAATCTGATTGTGAGAAATATTTCAGCTTCGTGTATATTTGAGAACATACGCACTTGAGCAAATGGTGCAAGCTGCAAACTCACTTGCTGGACTACGGACTATCAAACGGGTTGAGCAAACTTTGCAAGATCTTGGGGTTTGTCTAGACTCCCTTGAAGTTTTATTTCTGTTTAGATGTTTCATTTTTTTCCTCCCTGGTTTAGTCACGTAGTAGCCACTGATCTGTATTTTTAACAATACATAGAATCCGTACATTGTTCAATTTCAGGTGGGCTGATTTTGAAATGCCTTTTTTACCTATTGAATTGGTGTTGGGTAGGGCTGTAAATGAACTGTGTGCATTCCAAGAGCTATTCAGGCTCAGCTTGCATAGCTGGCTTGCCTCGTCTCAGCTTGACTAACCTCATGAATAGTTTAATTAAGAATAAAAACATTTTTTTATATATATATTTTACATGACAATTTATATACAAATAAAACAAGAAAATATATATTTTATGTTAACATAAAAGTATACTTGAGCTTATTTAAGCTTGAATTCTCAAACAAAAACAATAATAATAATGTTGAATCCAAGCTGAAATGTTTGTTAAATGATTTGAGCTTGAGGATATCTTTCGATTCATGAGTGGAGCCCAATCACACTAGATCAATACTGACACTCTTCCTGATGCATTTTCCTTTTAATTTGGTTCTACTGTGGTTCAGATCAATTTGAAACCAAGGGTTCCAACGAAAGCTGTTTGTGCAGAGCATCTTGAACTAAGAAAAGAAATACTTACTTGGCTGAATCTCCAGAAACAGGTATCTGAGAGTTGAAAGAAATATATTTGCTATCTGGAATGTGTTTATTAATTTTGTATACTGAGTAGATTTTGAGGATTTCACTGGTTAGAATGTCTATATGATTGTACTATGCCTTTCTAATGTTTGACTTTTAATAGGATTAGCAGCGTCAACATGAGCTTGCTTTTTCCAAATTTCTTCGATTTAATCACTTGATAAGATATTTGTTTCAGGTGCAGTATAAAGAGGCTGAAGGTTCATCTTTTCGTGATGGATCGTACTGTGAAACACCAGGCACACCAAAGGTTAGAAATCCAGTTTTTATTTCGGTATTCCCCCTCTATTGTTTTTATTGTTTTAGGCTTGTAATTGTTCAAGCATGCCTTTTTTTCCCCCAAAGCGTGAGTTTGTGATTTGGAAAGTACTAACAACATTTGCATTGTGTTGGGGATCAGGATCGGACATTTATTCCAGACTCCATGAAGTTTGGAGGTAATAGATTAATTTTGTTTGCACATGCTGCCTAATTTTGTGTAAGTGAAGGGGATTTCATCTATGTATTATTAAACCTATGCATATAACTATGGTTTCAGGTGAAAGGGTCAGCAAAAAGGACCAAAAGCGCAAGGTATACAACAAAGTCTTTTGTCTAATTATTCTCTCTTTGATTGTTCATTTCCACTCACTTTTGGACCGTTTTCATAATGCATCGTTGTTCAACTTGAAAATTTTACTTGCACAGGCACCTGGAGCTCCATCGTCATTAGCTCATAAAAGACCTAGAAAACTAAAGGCTTCAGATCTTTAGTTCCACTGGTAAGAGCTTATATTTAGCACAGATGATACAAAGAAGACTTGTTAAATATCATTCTTTTCTAATTTAATATCCGTCTGTATCATTTGTGTGCTTCTGTGATATGGTGTACTTGTTTATGTTTTTTTCAATTTTCCCCTTGTATAATGAACCAGCACACGAAAGCTTGTTAATGCATTGTATTTACTGAACAATGTTTTGCATGTTATCCGTCAGGTGGCAAACAGCAAAGGCGTTACGATTTGTGAATGTTGTGGAAAGCGGCAGTGAACTGTAAACACCTGGAAATTCTAATTGCGGTATATTTAGTCTAACTAAAGTTCCGTTTACTTTGGTCCGTTATTTACACTAATGCCATTCTTGGTATTCAGTGCAAAAAGGAGTCTGGCATGATGGGATCTCATCTTCACCATGTGTGGCCCTACTGAGAAGCTGAACTTTATTTTTTGTGCTGGTAAAGTGTTGTAGGGACACCAGGTATTTCTGACAAAAAAAGCTTCTTATGAGGATATGCATGTAAATAAGTTTGGAATTGGGAATTCCAGATCTCTTTGAAAGCTTATATCGGATTGTAGAATGAAAATCGTCCATGACATGATCATTTCAGGGTGAAAATCGTCCATTTTTGTTATACCGTAACAATCAGAAAATATAATACTCGTTTTTTTTTTTTAACTATTCTGCAACAATTAAAAAAATACTTTTAATCATTGACATGATCTCTCAAACTAAGGGAAGGCAATTTTTTATTTATTTATATTGCTAGGTTCCGTTCTAGCTGGGGTTGTGTCCAATCAGTTTTGGTACCATCCCGAGCAAATGTCGAAATATTTGGTCAATAGTTCATATTACATCCAGTTTCCGCAAAAAACTTAGATTAATTTGTGAAAATATTGATAATGTTATACATACCATATCTTTTTTCCTTGCTACATCTGATAATCATTTTATCATCATTAGATTAAAATTAAATAAACTCATCTCAATTGATGTCATTTTATTACATTTGATTTGATTTTGATTAATAATAAAGAAAACAATTATAAAAATTTATACGAAAAAAGATGTCATTTTATCTTTCCTCTTTTTCTTATCTTTTATCATCAAGTCCTAAATTACTGGGAATGCTACATGTCTAAGTACAACGAATAAGGGTCTACGATGGTGATGCTTATCCAACCATATTCAGGACTGATCATATTTGAATTAGTTCACCGGCATAATAATATTTGAACAATAAAAGGAGACACATAAATCCACTAGCACATTTATCAGAATCAGAAGCCACCAGAAGACAAAGGATGTTTCAGACTTTCAGTCTAAAGTAGAGATACAAACAGTATAAAAACATAGCAAATATAGTAACAATAAGAAAAGAGGGCAACAACACACTTGAAAATGACCCGCCAAACTCTGATTTACAAACCGTGATATCAGTTACACGATTCTTCAACAGATGGCCTTCATTCTTCATAATTTCCTAAGCTAGTGTCATATATCATTAGCCAAGAGTGCAAAAATGCACATGGAAAGATCATATCCATGAGGACATGTGATGCTGCTCACTTCCCTCCCTCCCTCCACTATTCACCTCAATTGTGAACAAATTCATATACTGTCCTCTATATTTCTTTATCACAATGTGGTGGTGGTGGTGGTATACGTGAAGGTTAAATTAGGAGAGAGTAATTACAAATAACATAGCATAGCATGAAAATGAAGACATGAGCATGAGAATCCTAGGTAGAGAAGGTAACATTGAGAATGTCTGGAAACTTGTCTTTGATTGCAGCTTTGATTCCTGATCCAATGGAGTCAGGTCCAACATACTTCACATGACACTCTCCGCCTTCAATGGATAACACTTGCACACTCCCTCCGTAATTCTTAATAGCTGGTCTTAAGATCTCAAGATGATTATTCACCGCCTAAAATCACATAACAACCACCAACATCTCATTAATTTCTATGCATGATTTCATTATAATAATTTAAAAATAAAATAAAATAAAGAGAAAAAGTAAAAGGTGACCTCAACAGTTGTGTCCTTAGGTTCATCCTGATATACTTGAAGTATATCCTTGACGGCATCTCCAAATTTTTCTTTAAGAACGCGTTCGATCCCCATCTTCATTGTTGTGGTTGAGCTTGGACAACTTTCACATGCTCCTTGCAGCCTCAGAGATATAACGCCGTCTTCAACGGAGACAACGTCGACGTTGCCGCCGTCCGCGATGAGGTAAGGGCGAACATCTTCTAGAACAAGGTCTACGTTTGAAGCGGTGAGGTCGAATTTCTGAGCAGAGTACAATCCTGAAGAAGACTGGTTGTGGTTGGAGGCAGAGACCGATTGGATTGTGCTTGAGCTTCTCTTTGGCTTCCGAATTATGAAATTGAATAGTGCCAATTTTAGCTCATGGCCATGGGGTTGATGTTGTTGCATACTCAATCTCATTGTTGAAAAAATTGGGGTTAGAGACGCCATGGGAGCACGAGGAGTGGGTGTAAGTGCATCGATGCACGCCACGAATTAGAAAGAATTTTAAAGAGTAGATGTGCCAGTGGCCCCACTGAGTTCAACTTTGGGCCATAGGCCTTTTAAATAGTGATTTTACTGTTTTGTAATCTTACAAAGTGGAGCCTTATTTAATAATGAGTTTAGTGTTCTTTTATTTTAGGAGATAAATTTATTTCTTATATATACATAAAAATATATAGAGTTTATGTGGGTCCATGAGAAAATAAGAGAGAGAAAAAAAAAATATAGACTCCACAAACTTTTATGTATGTATGAAAAATAAAATTATCTCCTATAACATAAGAGATATTAAACCCTTTAATAATATAAGTAATTCTCCCTATTTGTAAAGGAGAAACGATGGCCAGTTCGATTGTGTTTTATTTTTATTTTTTTCTTAAAATTATTTTGTTGAATAGCAAATGAAATATATATTTTTTGTGTTTTAAAAGTTAAACTTCAAAACACAAAACAAAAATAATTTTGACATATTTTCTAAATTTAGTCTAAAAATTAAAAAAATGTTACAATTTTTAGAACTATTTTTACAAAACAAATCTTATCAAGCATATATTTTTATTTTATTAGTCTGAAAATCAAAAAATTAAATTTAGAAACACAATTCAAACAGGCCGGATGTAAGTGAAACTGCATGCTTGTTACTATAATTAAGTAAAACTGGAACGCATAAGTTTTATCTTTCTTATTTATGTTTTTCAAATTTATCTTAAGTACGAGAAATAAAATGACGAACAAAATTATTTTACTAAGAATTTTTTTTCTTTCTCGACAAAACATTGACATAAGATTTAAAAATAAAAACTCTGTCCAAAATTTGGTTTCCCGTGCATTCCACGGATTTTTGGACTAATATTGTACAAAATTTGGTTTCCCGTAGAGTTGATAGTCAGTGCGACGATTGGTGAAACTCACCCCACGATAAGAACAAAGACATTGGTAGATCAATTGCTAATTAAGCTTCTAAGATTTTGTTTGGGTTATGGGTTTAAACTCTACTACAAATAAATTTTTGGAAAATTTTTGAAAGTAAAATAGAAGGTGCCTCTCTTCTCAATGATAGAGTAGTCTCATCCTTTCTCTGGTGGCATAGCCTAATACACCCGTTGTTTCAACGAGAAATTAGCCTTCAGATCGTATATGGTGGCATAGCTCAATACATCTGCTGTTCTAACGAGGAATTAGTCTTTGGATTGTACTCCAAAGACATTATAGAAAAAAGAAAAGAAAAAAGGAACAACGACGTCAGTATTAATAAACATCATGCTTAGGACCATAGGAAGTGTCTAAACTAGGGCCAGTTATGTTGAAAATTTGCACCGCAACTTCGCATACTATCCAATTGGGAAATACACCCACATAATCTCAAATTATAAAGTACAACTACCTAAACCCTAAATTACAAAGTACAGACAACGATTCTCTCCAAATTATAAAGAGTAAAGTGTGTATCATTTTAAAAGATATAAATTTGTGTTATTTTAAGAGAGAAAAAGAGATAGATAAAGGAAAAAAGAGAGTTGACAAAAAAAATAAAGGTGTGGGTCTCACCTCTTTGTGAGAGTGAAAGGATATAAGTTGTGTCATTTAAAAGGATAAACACTTTTCCCAATTATAAAATACAGAAGGTGAAAGAAAAATGGGATACCGTCTCGACGCAGAAAGCAAAATGGAGAGTTAAAGAACATAATAGGTTGCTCGAAAAGGGAAATATGAGGTATTTCTCCCCAAATGTCGTCGTAAGCTAAATACCCAATATGACATCGTTTTATGTTCTATGTGAATGTGACTCAGTCAGTTAACATTATACGTGAGCAACATTACTAACGCAGTTCGAGCTTTATTTATGGAATTAAGCACTAACATAGGTCTACTTTGAGCTTTATTTTTCCTGGGCTTCGTGAAGTTTGTTAAGGACCCAAAAGAGACTTTATTTTAAGATGAATCAAGTTTTTAAATAAAAAACTATATAACTTTTTTTTTTATAAAAAATTCATCAGCAGATTGATTTCTTAATCACTCAAAGTAACATTAATTTAATTCTTTAGTTATAAAAAATAGTATTCGTTTAATTTCTTAATAATAATAAAAATATTAATTTAATTCTAAGAAAATATTAAATTATTATATTATCATTATACACTTAATTAAAATAGCAATTTAATATTACTTGCATAAAAAAATGACCTGTGTCTTTCGCAATTAAAATGGATCTTAGTTCTTAACAAAAATAAAATGGATCTTAGTGTTCGTAATTAAAAGCATAGGTCAATGTTTACCAAAAAAAAAAAGCATAGGTCAATGAGAATGGCAGGCAATTAACCAGCAATCACCAAGTACTAATCGACGGCAATTTTAAATTTAAGGAATACATATACATTAAGAATTAAATTTAGAATAGTAGTTTATTGTATAAAAATAATTTGTTTACCTTTAAAATGTCTCTATTATGAGTCCAACCAGGGGTCAATCGTTGTTGCAACTTCCAATCGATCAATGACCTCAGACATTTGGCCATAAATATTTATCACACTGGAAAGGCGATCCCAATTCTAGGAACCTGCGAACGAATGCAAATTATGGTGATTAGGGATTTAACTATCTATTCGCGGGTTTTTGACCCTTTTGCCCCTAATTAAATAATTAATAACCAATTTGTTCCTCCCCATAACTATCCACCATCCTGCCCCCATTTAGTCGATTATTATAATAACCCTAATTATATGACTTTTAAATTAGAGGGTTATAATGAGGACCTTATAGTCATAAATGGAATGAGCATAAAATTATAAGAATTTTGATACCCATATTGAGGTATTATGCACAGATGAATTTTTATCTGTTAAATTTGACTGCTGACGTAATAACAGTTAGTAGAATAGCTCTAAGTTAGCAAATTATAGTTAGAGAGCTAATCTAATGATATAAACATCATGAATGAGGTTAGGATATGATTTGGTGAAGATTGATACCCATATTGGGGTATTTTTGAAAAGTCACTTCTGCCGGGTATTTTGTACTGCTGTAGCAGCATCCGGTAGAATCCCGAAACAGGAAAATAGAAATAAAGACCAATATATGTCTGACAAGTCATAATTAGACCAAAAATGTTAAAGTTAAGAAGATTATGAAATCCGGGTACAGTTAAGAACACCGGTAAAGACTATAGTGCAATTAAACAACTGTTAGTGGATCTGTGATCTACTAATCAAATTTTTAAGTTATGAACATGATAATTAGACAAAATTAATGTTAAGTACTTAAAGTTAGAGTCTTGAGAGTTTCCGGGTAAAAATTTGACGACGGATCAGTTAAAAATTACACCGGGTCTCACTAAAGGACGAATATCACTTAAGTGACATGGCACCCCTCATTAGGGCACCCTCCTCTCCTTCCCTTCCATTTCTGATCAGCAGCCCCTTCACCTCCTTCTCTCTCTAAGTTTCAAATTTTGAAAACTCTCTCACTTCTCTCTAAGATTTCTTCACCTAAATCTCTCTAAACCACCAAACTTCCTTCACAAAGATTGTTCCCCTCACTCTCCTCTTCACAACCATACCATTTTCATGGTGTGAATCAAAAATTTCGTGTCCCTTATCATCCCAAACAGCCATGGTTTTGTGGAGAGCAAAGACTATGGAGTTGTATTCTTGAGCTCTCTTGAAGAATTACACTTGCTTGCTTGTTTCCTTTGATTTTTGGGTAAGTGTTCTTAAATTTTTTTCATGAAAAATATCATATTTTCTTCTTATGTTCTTGAGCCTAACTCATGAGCATGTTCATGAAGGTGTGTGCTTGCCTAAAGGTGTGTTCTTGGTGGAAAAATGTGGAGACTTGAGCTAAAGGAGAAACCTTGAAGATGTAAGCTCCCACTTGGGAAATATGAACCAAAAAGCCTCCCTTTTTCTTGTTGAGTGCCTTGGTTTTGATATGTTCATGAGGAGAATGTTGTTTAAAATTTCGTAATGTCATGGTTTGATGATGATTCTTAAGTGTGTGTGTGTTTGGAACCATGGAATGATGGATTGGATGACTAAAGGTGCCACCTTTGGACCTTTGAGTGATGTTCATGTAAAAAGATGACTATGAACTCAAAAATGGACCATGAACATTTCAGCCATATCATGTAAGGATATGGTTTGATGACAAAAAAATGTGATTAAGTTGTTAAGTGTGGAAAAATGATTAGAAAGATTAACTAGGTGGGTTAACTCTAAGTAAAACTCACTAATCATGATTAATAATGGCTAAAAATCCTAATTAATATAGCTAATCAAATCTGCCCCATAAAGTACATAAGGGTTTAGTTGTGTTAAAATTAAGGAGATGATGAATTAGGTGATTAATTAAGGGTAGAGATTAATTAACAAAAGTAATCAAGGATTTAACTCTAAAATTGGACTAAAGTAAGGTTTAGGTACACTAATTAAATAATTAGTAAAATTTAAGTATCATGACATAATGGGACTAAGGATATTTTATAATGTGACTTAATAATAGAAAAATCCAAGAATTAATGTGAATTAGGATTTATAATCAAAAGTAATTAAGGTTTGTTAAGTAAACACATTTAAGGCTAAGTAACCATTTTTAGGCAAAATTGGGGAGAGCATATCTCCCTCCACAGAGGTCATATAGGGATGTGCCTTATATCAAATTGAAGATTGAGATGTTATCTACGTGGTGTCAAAATTTGGTATCAATTGAAGATATATTCCATTCTGTATGTTCGTTTGAGTCAGGACTGCACAGAGAGGCATGTGCAGGGGCGCTGTACATGGCTGACACTTCCATGAATTTTGTCTCCCTCAATTATTACTCAAATTAGGCTCATAATATGTCTAATTAAAGATAAAGGTATCTAGTTGTCTACATAAAAATTTTAGAGCAATTGATTTATTAGAATTTCCATAATCGCAGAAATGGTAAAGGATGTTTAGGGCCCTGTTCGGAGTTGGCAAACAGCTTTGTTTGTCCAACTTCAAATGGTGATAACCGGAGCTAGGAAAC